CTAACACATAGTTTTCGAATAATAACAGCATTTTGCGGTGCAGAATTTTACAACCATTTAGAAAAAAATCATGAAAGCGACAACTGAATGTTAACAAAGAAGTTCTATTCGTAATTATGTAATTTAAGACCAACTTCAGTGTATAAAGTCTGTTAGAAATGGCTTTGTCGGCTCCCCTCCCACAGTTGCACCTGGCAGAATGTTATTTAATTGTTAAAATTTCGTCATTTAAAAGTGATGCTAGTATATATACAATGAAACAGTTGGTTCAATATGCATATTCATGATCAGAATCCTTACGTTTACACGTTATTGTTGGATATCGGGTCGGGAGTTTGTGCCTGCATGTGCTAAGTTGTCATATTGCGTCCTACCTGGCATGATCGTGTATTCGTTTATCTTTGTCAGAAATGGTGTAATAGTGGGAATTGGTGTTTGCTCATTTTCACTTGTCGTCATGGATTCTGCTGTACTTTCTAAAAATAATAAAAACAAAAAAACATATATAACACCCAGAATAGTGTACAATAGTGTAAAACTGAAATGGAAAATAGAAAAAGAAATCCCAAAATTTAAACGCCTTCTAACATATTTTAACTATCTATACATTTTAAGCCCCCGAAACGACTGTCAATGCCGTAAAAATGAAATACGAAGAAACATGTTTTTTTACGCAATTGTAGATTATATGGGAATGATATTCTCACCTTGTTTATTAGTCAACGTTGCCGGTGTGATAGGTTTCATGTCAGTGGATGCTGAATGCGGCACCGTTGGAACTGTGAATAATTAGATACAATATAATTATTCATTATGTAAAGGAACAGTGTGACATTCTTACAATGGCAGTACTTTTTTTTAATGAGTTGGAATGAGTTCCAAAGTACAATCAAACCATTTATTTTTTTACACATCAACTATAGCTATGTAACAACTTTAACCTACTTTAAAAAATAGTTTTCGAATAATAACAACATTTTGCGGTGCAGAATCTTACAATCATTTAAAAAAATCATGAATGTGACAACTGAATGTTAACAAAGAAGTTTTATTCGTAATTATGTAATTTAAGACCAACTCGAGGGGTAAAATGTCTGTTAGGAAATAGCGTTGTCGGCTTGCACAGTTGCACCTGACAGAATGTTATTTAATTGATTGATTGATTGTTGATACAATGAAATAGTTGGCTCAATATGCATATTCATGATCAGAGGCCTTACGTTTACACGTTATTGTTGGTTACCGGGTCAGGGAGTTTGTGCCGGCATGTGCTAAGTTGTCATATTGCGTCCTACCTGGCATGGTTGTGTATTCGTTTATCTTTGTCAGAAATGGTGTGATAGTGGGAATTGGTGTTTGCTCTTTTTCACTTGTCGTCATGGAGTCTGCTGTACTTTCTATAAATAATAAAAACAAAAAAACATAAATAACACCCAGAATAGTGTACAATAATGTACAACTCAATTGTGTGTGATACAAGAGCCAATCAAACCAACGGTTATAATGAAAATAGCAGGAAAAATAGAAGCGGAAATTATGAAATGTTAAGTGTACGCCATTATACACATCATAGAATGAATTGAACGAACATATCTATTAGTATGAGTACACTTGAGACATTTTAGCCTAACAACCAATGTCAATACCGAAAAAATGAGATGAAAAATGATATTCCACACACTTGTCCATTATACGGGAATTATAGTCTTACCTTGTTTGTTAGTAAACGTTGCCGGTGAGATTGGTTTCACATTAGTAGTTGCTAAATGTGGCACCGTTGGAACTGTGAAATATTAGATACGATATGATTATATAATAGGTAAATGAACAGTATGACATTCGTACAATGGCAGTACGTATTTTAATGAGTCGTATGAGTTCAACTAAACATTTTTTTTTCTTTACACACTAACTAGGTTCAATGCAAAAACTGAACCTACTATAAAAATGATTTCGTTTAATAAGATAAAATTATGAATGCTAAAACTAAACAAAAACGTTTTACTCGTGAATATATCATTTGTGGCGAACTTCAGAAGTTTGAATTTATTAGGAAATAGTGTTGTCGGTTGCCGATTGATTGTTGGAATTTCTTCATTTAAAAGCATATATACAATGAAATATTTGGATCAATGTGCATATTCAAATGCCTTATGTTTGCACGTTTTTGTTGGATACCGGGTCGGGAGTTTGTGCCGGCATGTACTACGTTGTCATATTGCGTCCTACCTGGCATGGTCGTGTATTCGTTTATTGTTGACAGAGATGGCGTGAAAGAATGAATTGGTGTTTGCTCTTTTTCACTTGTCGCCATGGGTTCTGTGGATCTTTCTAAAGATAATAATAAAAAGAAAAAAACAAATGTTGCACTCAGAATCAATATAATCATTGGCATCATTTATAGTGTACAACTTAATTGTGTATGGGCCAACCAAACCAGTTGGTATACATGTACTATACACAATTATTTACTGTTTTTAATATCAATTTGATTAGTATTGACACATGTTCACAAACAATAAGATCGCTATGAAGTGAGTCAATATGAACTCACAATGTATAACATAATTTTGTTAGAAATATGCCAATATTGTATTTTCGCAAACTAAAAGGAAACCATTATTTTGCAGCATTCGTTTTTATGCAAGCTCAACCTTCGTTAATTTGTAATAGTTGTGATAGTAAACAATCTGGGGCTGAAATCCCCCTGCACCATACTATTTGTTCATGACAATAATTCCGAATCTGTAAATACTACACAATGATTGGGAGTATTAATGCAAATATAGTGGTATGCACGTGACATGCACGTGACATGCACGTGACATGCTGCCAAATTAAACTTGGATTGAAGGTCCCTAGAGACATTAATATATTGCAAGTTCCTAGAGTCATTGACCCAAATCTTAACTCCAATGGTCCAAGTAAGTGGACTTATGCAAATTAGTCGACCATAATATTATACACAATCGTGAATAGTATTTAAATTTAAATAATCACTACAACACAGAAGAGATAATTTGCCCCTTTGACCTCCAGGGAAAGGGGGAAATGTCCCAGGAGAGTATAAACACTTCACTCCCATCTGGCTTCCAGGCACGAAATATTACATTTGAATACATGAGTTCGTATACCCGTTAAATTGTTATATTCTTACCTTGGGTGTCTACCGTCCGTGTTTCTTGTGTCGTTACATACGATAATGACGCAGAGGCTTCATTTACATAGTTCGTTGTACCAGAACCTGACACGGTTGATGTGGTTACATCTGGAATGTATAGAGAAATGGACATCAATGGATAGTCAGGAAAATGAAAAATAATTTCGCCAATACAAGGCATGCACCCTAGAATGCCGGTTAGTTCAACTGCAGCGTACGTAATTCCAAAAAGGTGAGTACAAAAAACAATCAGTATTTGAAGAATTCGAGTAGATGTAATAATACATCAACCTTAAAAAAATGCGTATAAGGTGTAAATACCACAATTTGCATTTGGTGGGCCAATATCACAGTCATGCCATACTACATTAGGATCGGTTGTGTAACACCAAGCTGTATGCCAACCATCAGGATTTCGACAATAGTTATGATCTCCTAAGCCAGTGTTTGGATAGTTTTCCGGAGTTACTGCATGTTGGTGAGGGAATTGGTCTGTCCATTTCTGACAAACTTCACCGTGATCTGTAACATGTACAGTGCCCCGATAGTCACGGCCTCGATGATCTCTATAACATTCACTTGAACCTGTTGAACAGGATAGAAGGACCAAATACAAATTTATACAATGATCACGACATATAATTATGTAACAATATGTATAAAGATCAAACACCAACATACATAAACATGAAAATAATTATTCTGAATTTGTTTAAATATAATGGCGATATACTTACCATGTTCTGTTACTGATTTAATTCTTATTGACTGTGTCGCTGCAGTAGTATGTTCACCTATATTTACTGTAGATCTCACAATAGGAGCTGTAGTTGTGATGGTACCTATATTATAGTAGACAGTCAAACCAATTTCATTAACTATTAAAATTAACATCATTACGATGTGACATTATTGAAACTGCTCAAATACTTTGAGACAAGACCACTGAAAAAACGTTCACTTGCTGGTCACTTCCAAACTGAGATCGGTGAACCTTTGTGATAGTCAACTTATGTAAACTATGTGGAATGAGTATAATTGTTCTGCGAATATATTTGTTTATTTTGGTATTGTGTTTAGACCAATACAGTGTTAACTATTGATAAAGCCGTTGACATCTGCGGGGTGATCAGGTTTTTGTGTTTTGACTATTGGCGCCATTATTAGAACCGGGCCGGATTGATCAGTGCTGTTAACAGTACGAGCTGGGCTAAATAATTCTACTGGCAACTGAGCAATCATTTAAGTAGAGATGCAGTTTACCTGACAGGTATTTTAATTAGTTAATTAGGAAACCACGATGACCTCCCTTGTCCACAAAACTATATATTTTCGGAAAGCTTATTATATGAATTTTAAAATGTTGTTAATATTTTTGTTTATGGACACTGTAGTTTGAAATATGCACAAAATGTGCTTTTTTGGTCAAAAGTGATTTAAAAAAAATAGCTTCTAAACCATGCTTCTGTTTCCTGTCAAAATTGGTTTATGTGTACATCTGTTCACTATGAAGAAAGCGCCGTCTTGAAAACTGTCTACCAGTTATCAATTTTGCAGGGAAGCAGCTCAAATTTCACTACTTCAAGTTTACGCATAAATTAACACCCAGCTAGTTGTCTGTACGATTGTTGTAACACTGTTCAACTAAAAACAATGTCCCGACGGCGTTTTGAAGATAAACACATTGTCAATCATTTGTTAAAATTTCAAAACAAAAGGTCGAAGCGTCTAGGAGATATTTTTTTAAAGTTCTGGGATGTGCACTAAAAGAAGCTGAGATAATTGCTAATTTGCATAACAATTCACTCAGTGAGAAGTTTGATAATGTTCATAATTAAAATGGCTGTTACAGTTCCAAATTTCAATGTATTATCGTTTTGTTAAAAGTTAAATACAGTGCATATTATGGAGATCCCGTCATTTCTTTTTTTTACCATGTTTCTTGTTTATTATTTATGTACAGCCTTGCTAAATCTTGCTAAGCATTCAAAAGTAAGAATATTTGCACCTATTATCTATATTTTAAAATCGTTTTTTGAGTATGTTCCACTATTCACAATTCTACAAAATTTCAACATTCTTTAGCCAAGACTGTTTGCATAATAAAAAGCAAAAAAAAAATTCACTCCCAAGTGCCCACAAACCTGCATCTCTACCTTAAACTAACGAGTGTCTTGGATTAGTGTTATTAATAAACTTCAACATTATCACCAACAATTAATATTGTGGTGGATTAAACCAACAATAAATGTGATGTGCATGTGTTGAAGTCAGCTTTCATTATGTGAAGAAAAAAGACTTGTTTTCCTTAATATATCAACGATGAGTTTATGTTTACACATACCACACGCATCATTTGGTGGACCAATATCACAGTCATGCCATACTACATCAGGATCGGTTGTATAACACCAAGCTGTATGCCAACCATCAGGATTTCGACAATAGTTATGATCTCCTAAGCCAGTGTTTGGATAGTTTTCAGGAGTTACTGTATGTTGGTGAGGGAACTGGTCTGTCCATTTCTGACAAACTTCACCGTGAAGTGTAACATGTAGAGTTCCCCGATAGTCACGTCCACGATGATCTCTATAGCATTCACGTGAACCTGTTCAAATAAACATAACATGGTAAAAATTAAATAGTTCTACACTAAACTATTGGCAGTGAAAATAACAATCTAAATGTTACAGGGAATAACTAATTGGCGATAATAGCCTTATTACAGAAATATTTTATTTTCTCATACTCAATGGACATATTTAATATGGTAGTCATACATAGAAATAAATAACCCATAGATAAGATTATAATGCATTGAAATACTGTTCAATTGCCACCCTTCTGTGTCAGCTGAGATGTGCCCACTGGTCGCGCGACACACGATAATATGATTATAATACGTATATTCAATTCACAAGCTGCTTATGTTTTCTCGTAACAGCGTTGCTATCAAACCTTTACCTCGATAGTTTATCGACTCATTAATTACTTTCAGTCATACCTACCGTGATTAGGCTCTGTTATGTGTTTAATTGTTCGTATATTTGGTAATGAAGACGTATACTCATCTATACGTTGTGTAGATCTAATAACAGGAGCTGCACTTGTGGTTTCGTCTATGACGTAAAATATAAAAAACGTACACGTGATTTTCAGAATTATTTAATGGTTGCCTAAACGTTATAAAAGCCGGTTAACTCAATGGTTGTGTTAATTACTCTGCAATGGGAATGGTCGCTGTGAATCTCGGATGTCGTCAATTATTATATGAGCCACAGTACGTACCACATGTTTCACTTGGTTGTCCAATATCACAGTCATGCCACACTACATCAGGATCGGTTGTGTAACACCAAACTGTATGCCAACCATCAGGATTTCGACAATAGTTATGATCGCCTAAGCCAGTGTTTGGATAGTTTTCCGGAGTTAAGGTATGTTGGTGAGGGAACTGACTGTCCATTTCTGACAAAGTTCACCGTCATGTGTTACATGTACAGTGCCCCGATAATCTAGTCCACGTTCATCCAAATAACACTCGTGTGTTCCTGATTAAAAAGGAACATGCTTACAGTATAGTTAATGATAACATTCATAATACAAACAATTTCAGATAACACTGAACATACAGTCGTTGCGTGCATCGTAGAATAAGATGTATATTGACAAGATGCAGTCACTGTCAAGTTGTTATTATTAAGTATGTGAGAGGCAAGACAGGATCACATCACATACAAAGAATATAGCATTTGCAGTGTTTTCAAATTCTTGACTCCACGTCCCCGTATCATATTATTAACATGTAGTATACGAACCTCGGTTATTATAATCTATCGTGATTTGTTCAGGTGTTGTTATCTGAGGTCCATAAGAGGTTTTTTCATGTGAGAAGATTGTGGATCTTTTCACAGAAGATGTAGTTGTGCTCTCTACTAGCATGTAACAGAGAATATATTAATGTAACTAACACATTCCTTTTTAATAATAATAATAAT